GGACATTGAAGCCCAGATGGTCTCAGAGGCCAGTTGTCACATTTGACGAGGCGAGATGATCTGTCGAGTATGAGTGCAAATCTTTGCCGCTTTCACATCAGAGCAACTGGAAAAACGGCACTCGGATTGATTTCTTCTCTCATCTGATGCATGTTAAAAAAAAAATTCTGACAAAGACATATGGAGAAGAGAATTGTTCAACAGCAGGTGGCCTGTTCTCCAGTCTGAGATGTTTTCACTTGATTGTTCCGGACAACATGCACCTTCAGATAAATAACATATGCAGCGTTTGCAGGCAGGTGGGCGGACTGATTCAGCTCAAACAAAAACTCAGCAGGAGACAATGAATCGCTGCTGCAAAGCAAATGTACCAGGAGAATCTTGCTTCAGAGGACTAATGTTTACAGATCATTTTTAATATGTATTATCAGCTGAAAGATCTTTACATTTTTTTGCAAAATTGGCAGATCCTGGATTCAAAGTTTTATTTCTGCTCCTCGATTTCGTCTCAGTCAGTATCTTCCTAGCTTAGCAAATCTTTGAGAAATGAGGAGGGGTGATGTTCAAAGTTGCTTACAGAGAAAGAGAAAGAGGGAGGAAGGGAGGGAAACTGTCTGGGCTTTGGCAGGTGGACTGATAGCCAGCCCTGTGGAATGGCAGCTGTTGAAGGGCTTTTTAAATTGCACCCAGGTTGATGGGTGGCTGTCAGCAGGGCAATGGACAGAATTCCGAAAAGGAGAGGGAGAAAAAAACTGAAATCGATGAGGTAAGAGTGGAGGAGAGGGTGAAGCTGGAGGACAGTGACCCTGACACAAGGGTTTATATATATGTCTATGTGTTTGTGAAAACACAAAAGCATAAAGCTTCAACATTGGGTAAGGAGTTGTAGGATTAATTGTGGAGAATTAATAAAGAAGTTACATTAGGTGAATAAGACTGTAGTTATTTAGCAAGGTCAAATGTCCTTACTTCGCTTGGCAGCTTTAGTGCTTACAGACTTTAGCTTCATTCAGATTCTGCAGTTGTTCAGTCACCCCATCATCCTACAATCATTCTGAAAAAGATGGCACCATTTTTTTCTTATCCAATCCAAATGCTTTAGATGAATTCCAACATCAGACAAACAAAACAACAGTAAATACCTAAAAGGTTCCATTTTTCCTAGATCAAGACATGGGTGAGCTTTGATTTAACACATGAATTGGTTCACTTTCAGGTTTGATTACTACCATACTTGGAGAAAAACAATAAAAAAATATATATATATATATATATATATTCCCAGTAGATCTGAAGTTAAACTGCATTATATTTTAGGGAGGAAAAAAAGAAAGGAAGAAATACTTTCCAGTAAATCTGAAGTTTAACTGCATTATATTATAGGGCTAAAACAGAAACAAAAAAACAACAACACTAACACCATAGCTGTCATGGAAAAGAGCTGTTTTGCTGCTTTGAACCTCTGACAACTCAGCGTAAGTCGCAGAATCACGAATTATGCTGCCAGAAAACACTGAAGCTTAAATGTTGGCCATGCGTCTGTGAATTTAGGTTCAAACACGCTTGTAGGAGAAGAGCAATCAAAGCACATCTTAAAAAACAAAAAAAAATACTTGAAGGTTGGAACAGAATTAGTAAAAATATGATGGGCTGGATGTTTCTTGGTGAAACAATCAATTTTGCAAATAGGCATTGCAGATAAGCCATAATAAGGAAACAAATTGCACATGCAAATTTTTATAAGCGAAAGCTGTTTAGCACCACTTATTTGGAATCAGAGCATGTATGTTGAGTGCAAAGTTTAGAGGTTACAAAATGGCCAGTTTGCTATAGCCTTCAGAGCTCTAATAAGTTAATCTGATAGTCTAACTCACATGATATGTGATCTTAATCTTTTTTTTTCAATACTATACTCTTACAAATTCCCACTGGCTGAGAACTGAGGTGTAAATTGTGATTTAAATCAGACAGTATAGGGAAACTGCTTTTTGTAATTTAGAGCGCAGGGAAACGCAGTTGGTGCTGTGTAATGCGACGCTTTCAGCCTGACTGCCTAATACTGCCTTGCTGTGGTTGTGCTGTGCAACAGATGGCGTTCTGAGAAGGTCATCACGTCTGTTTCAACAGTTGCTACACATGCTGGCAACATTATTAGGGGCTATTTGGGGCATAATGTAGAATCTGTCAAGGTGTTGTCAGACGGCAGCTGAATAAATATAGCCCTTGTTAGGCATCTTCTTGACTTGGTCAACATCCCCTTTGAGAGTTTATAATTTGCTCATGGTAAGAGAAAATGATGTTTACATTATTTCAAAGCTTTCTAATTTCCCATTGTTAAGATCTCAATTCGTGTTGATTCTTGGAATAATCTGCCACCTTGGGACACCATTAAAGGAAGGAAAACATTCCTACTCCTTTTCCTTTTTGTTGTTTTTTCTTTTTGTTCATAAAAAGGTTTCTATGATTAAATTCTCTTTGATGTGTGAACATGCTAGCCGTTTGATTGTGGTTTTGAAAAGGGGAAATTTAAAATCCTCAAACAAACTGTTTCCTTAGTTCCAAATAAAATAGAAAACAGAAAACAAAACAACAACAACAACAACAACAAAAAAAAAAAAAAACTAGCCAGTAATTTGTTTTATTACAAAGCCCCAAATCTGGAAAAAGGAAATAAATCAAGCTGTTATCTGTCTTTTAATTCCAAAATGAAATAGGAAAATAAGAAATAAAAAACAACTGATTCAGCTCCTTACCTCGTCAGAGTCACATGTGCCTCCACACCACCATGGGCGTGCTACAATACTAAAACATATTCATACAATCGCATCCCTGGACACTTGCAAAAAACCTTCCTCCTTATTATTGTTATAACAACCAAAGATATACATGACAAGGACTCCAAGCTAATTTTAAACAGTACTGCTCTGAACCAGGACATAAAACATGAGCCTTGAACCAGTCAATCAGTTCTTTATAGCATTTATTTCAATATAATGTATTTGTGTTTTGCAATGAAATCAGTAAACAAAACAGGGGAGGGGGGAGCTGAGTCTAAATTTGATTCTTAATTTCGATTTTGGAATTGTAAACTGATAACGGGTCACTTTCTTTGTTGTTAACCATCTGGCATCCTTAAAGAAAACAACAAAAATGGGTTTGTCTTTTTTTTCTACTTATTTTTTTTTCTACTTGTTTTTTTTTTTTGCTGTTGCTGTTTGTTTTGGAAATCAGAAGACGGTTCATATTCCGATTTAGGATTGCTAAAAACAAAACCAAAGTGCAATGGCCAGCACGTACACATACCTATTTTGCTCAAATCCAAGCACTCTACATTCCAGCTTACAAAAAGCAGATTGTTTGTCCTGTTTTAATACGGAAAAAAAAACAAAAAAAAAACACCTAACCTCAAAAGGTCCTGGAAAAAAACTAATGGCTAAATCTAAGGTTGGTTATTCATCTTAAATTTGCAAAAGGTGGCAGAACCTCGCTTTTATTGCATGCTGATTGCTGTGGTGTAACTATTAATCATTTTCTGCATTCCCCATGGGTCAAAAACCCCTCTTTAACAGAGGAATGGATCTGACACCACAGGACTGGCAATTATCTGAATCCAAATCCTCTGTGGAGTTTTACTCCCTTATTTCTTATCTTTCCAAATTATTTTTGCATTGACTGTAACATAGAGATGTGACTAATACTGGAAATCATCCAAATCAGTATTGTTATTATTTTTATGTTATTTTATCATTATTATATATATGTTTTAGTATTATGAAATTGTAATAATTATTATTATTATTGTGTGTTTTATTAATATTATTAATATTA